CAATGGAGCTTCTGTTCTCGCTTCTGAAAATACCGCCGTGTTTCTATCCTATGTTGCTGAAGTTTCGGTTCTTCAAATCCAACCTCTCAGAAACCAACAAGCCCTAGCCTCTTTCATCATTCCCCTCCGTAAATCACCACTCGACCAACTTCATCATCATCAAACCATAACTTTCTAACCTTCAAGTCACCTTCAGAAACTCAAGCTTCCCAGACTCACCTTCACTCCTTCTCCAACTCTCAAACATCAAGCAACAAAACCTCCATATTTTTTTCAGTTTTAGACAAAACAACCATCAATCCCATTTCAATATAAATCCACACGAGATTCCACCATTTTATGAATAAACACCACCATTGTTCTTCCGCAAGAACTCAACCGTGACGCCTACCGAAAACCCCAAACAAATTTTGAACCAAGACGAACACGACCTATACCCAGAAAACATCTTCCATAACCACTCTTCACAACTTCGAATCTGAAACCCTTAAACCCTCATCAAACCCTCTCCAGCAACTTCAAACGACTCTCATCAACACCACTAACAACTCAAAAATTAGGGCGGAAACTGTAGAAAGAGAAGAAGAGGAGTTTTTGACCTAAATCCAAATAAACACCAATAACAATCAGTGAAGAATACAACGGTTCGAAGGCAGTAGAGATGAACAACGAAGAAGAATGTGGCGAGCAAGGTAAAAATGGCGTAGAGTCGGAGGGTTTTTCTTACCTGAATGTTTCTTCAATTTCCATCCATCATTGCGGCTCAGGCACAACCGAAGGTCATTTCTAGGCCGAGGCCCGTTTACTTTCACACGCCCTAGTCACTTGTTAATACCCTTCGCAGCTTTTTATCCATCCCTCTTTCTTTTATTTTTATGAAAAAGTATTTTATAATATGTAGTTTTTATTTTATTTAAATATTTTTTTATTTCAAATGGATTTATTAATATGTGTATATATTATAGTTTTGTTTTATAAGTTACGTATATAATTTTTTTAAAGTTTTATTGTTTATATTATTTTATATTAGAGTTTTAAGACTTATTTTATTTTAGGGTTAGACGTCATTTCTCTTTTGTTATTGGGCTTTTTATCCCATTTTCCTTTTGGTCGATGACGAAGCTTCCATAAATCGATTACTAAGTCAATATATTGATAAGTATCGTTGGATCCGAGACCCTTTTCTTTCTTACCTCGTATTCTATCACGATTTTATTTTTGAACCAATGAAGTCTCTGATTCGTTAAACGTTAATTCTCGAGTATGTTGAAACCTTCGTTATTTCAAATCTAAAGAGAATGACCATTAGGGTCATTTTCCTTACTTTGGGATCGCGAGAGGTTCCCTTCGATTAAATTAACTTAAAGTTTGCGATTAAGACGAGGTTTGAGTTTTTTCGACTTTCTTTTCTTTCTCACTTTCGACTTTATTTCATTTCATTTGTTTTGGTCTATGAAGAGACTCCCGTAATCCATTATCAGTCAAATTATTGACGAATAATGTTGGATCCGAGACCATCTTCGTTCTCTCCTCATTTCTTTTCATCTTCCCGATTTTATTTTGACTTTCTGTGATCGATGAAGTCTTGTATCCGCAAGACGAGATCCCACTGTATTTGGTCCGTGCGACACGATTCAATTGGAGAACGATCCTCAATATCGTTTCTCTATCTTGTCCATAGCACGGAAATCAATGTGCGACCTCTTATAGTTCAACTTCTCTTATAAGTCGAGCTAAGATGGTTTAACGTTACATTTGTCCCGATTCGCCATTGACGCTATCAAACCATCTTCAATAAAGGAATCGAGTTATATTCGTGTTGAATTGAAAAAAAAAGGATTAAGTGTAGACTTTCTCCCTCTCCGAGTGTCGAGATGCTAATTGTAGTGTGGGTGGTTTAGACACTCGTCTTTCAATACGAATATGCTTTCCATTTTAAACCTTTCCTCCTAAAAAACCTCGGCCCCGCACCGAGTGCATTTTCAAAATCCCTTTCAATAAAGAATCAACTTCTCTTAGAAAACACATAAAGATGAAGAAGAAAGTAAGCAAATAAAAGAAAACACAAACACAAACCAAACTAGGGTGGACTCGCTTAGAAAATTATCCTCAGTAGAGTCACCAGCTATCGCGGCACGAAAAACACTCGGGCGCGTGCACACTCGGGATAAATAACAGAGTCGTCATCATTCTTTATTTATTTTATATAAATGGGAAAAAATCGACTAAAACCCACTAAAGCGAAGGAAAATGGTCGTCACAACCATATTAAGTTCGAGAGTCAGTTACGCAAGGAAAAGATATTAACACCCCTCACATCCGTTGTATTCAACGAGACCCATTTAATTAGTTATATGAATAAGTGTTAGCGCAAATCGTTTATAATATTTTACTTACTATGGGAGAAAGATAAAAAAAAAAAAGGAACTAAACCTATTTTTTTTATCATTGTACTTGCTAAAATTTTAAAATTTTGTCCTTACATATTTTCATAATGCAATGGAAAAATATAAATAATTTATTCTATTCAAATAACAAGATAAGAAATATAATAGTAAATAATAGAATAAAATCTATACCACTTTATTTTGTTGTACACTAACCATTTTTATAAAATTATTTCTATTGCTTTATATACTACTTCATCATTCTATATGTCATTCTATCGGTCCTTTTTTAATATATTGGCCTTTAATTAATAAAAAATTGTCATTCCATCGATAAAAACAAACTTCAATAATTTCGTACTATTATTGAGCTGTAGCAAAATTAGTTTAACATACATAACTTCAATAATTTCCCAAAGCATTATGCATAAGAGAAGCACGTGATCGATCACGTGGTATCTCTGATTTAGCTATAAATAGGTGATTAAGTAGTAATAGAAATCACTCATCCAAAAACAAAAATCATACACTTTTAGTTTTATTCTCAAACATGATCACACTCAGACCTGCTTCTGCATTATTGCCTCTCTTTCTTCTCTTGGTATGTTTCACTTCTCTTTCATTAAAATAAATAAAAAATATTAGTAGTACCATCTAATGCTTAATGCTTAAGAAAAAAATAGCAGTCTATACCCAGTAATATTACACTTAATTGAATAATTAATTGTTTGTTCACGTTTTGTCAAGTTTTTTTTACCCCCTTAAATTTCTTTTTTTATGAATTTTAATTTTCTATATCATTTATCATACTCGTTATTAATTAATTGAATTAGAGTTTAACTATTATTTTTGTGTAAAAAATTTTACGTTCATCAACATTATTTATTTGTATTATTTTATAAATTATTAAAATGAAAGTTAAATTTCTCTCCTTATCTAACATTTATAATTAACTAATAAGTATAAAATTCCTTTATACTATTAATATAAAATTTATTTATATTATCAATACATTTTAATTAAATCTTTAAAATATATTCAGAAACATTTCGATTAAATCCTTGAATTATATTCATAAACTACTACTTAAAATATTTGTCGCACTTTAATCTTCTCTCTATTGATTTTTATTTGTTGCATTTGACAATAACAATTATTCATATTTACTTTTTGCTTTTAACGTTGACACTTTTTTAATACTATTTATTAAGTAAAAAGATATAATATTAAATAAAAATAATATAGAGAAAAGATAAATATACATAAAAATTAAAAAAAATTAAAAAATGTATTTTTAACTATAAAATTATAAGTATTAATAATTTATTTACAACAATAATTATGAAAAATTAAAAAAAAAGTTTATACTGACCCAACTTTATTGTTTGAAATTGAGATTGAAATTTATAATTTATACCTTTTAACCCAACTTTTACCTACTCTCCTTATTCTACTGACTTTCTTGATATTTTCAGAAAGACTTCAAATAAAAAGTAAAAAGGAAAATTCGTTGTAAGTAGAGACTTCCTTACTATCTGTTTTTAATTAGTTTTTTAATTTAAAAAATTGAACACGGTTGGGATGGGTTTGAACTAGGAATTTAAGGTTAAATTGAAAGAAATTCCTCACTATCTCATTCAAGTATTTTTGATTCTATTCTTAATCAATTTATCTATTCTCTTTGCAATTATTCATTTATATATGATTATCTCACATAATTTAAAAAATAGAAATAAAAGTTATTTATACCTTAATATAGATAGTTTTTTTTATCATTATAAATATAAATATATTAAATTAAAAATAATGCATGTACTATTAAATAAAATGTATAAATGAAAAGAATGTAATTAATATTTCATTAAACACTATTATTTGTATTTTTCAAATATTTTTTAACAAATAAACTATTTATCATAGGACAGAAAATAAAACTAATATATTGTTTTTAATAATATGATCTAATTGATTCGCACAAGTTAAGTAGCATAATCAATTTGAACAACTAACCGGAATAAAAACATAAAAATGTGTATTTTCTCTATTCTATAATAAGTGATTTATTTAGAATAAAAAAAATTTTTTTAAGTAAATTTTAATTTTTAATGTATTTTTTTTAATTTTATCTTTTAATTAATATTAATTTTATCATTTCTAATATATAATATCATATATTATAGTAAAAATATCATCATTATTTATTTATTTATTTATTTATCCTAATTTATTTAAAAAATCAATTGAATCACTCATAGAGAGAGAGTAAGATTCAGTGAATAGATAGGGACAACTTTTTAAAATAATCTAATGAAAATTATCATTCGTTTGTTGCCATATCTTTCCACCATATTTAAGATGAAAACTAACTTTATTTATTTACAACAAAAATAAAAATTTTATAAATTAACTTTATTTATTTAGGGCAAGATTAATGAATTAATTTTTAAGTATGATTGATCAGTGATGGATTTTTAATATGTTTTTATTAAATAATCTCCAAATTAAAGTTCATTTTATTAAAAATAAATAAGTTGGAGGTTGCACGTTCTACTCGCATATTTTTATGAATTTTTTTATACAATTGCTTTAAAAGACAACAATAACACGTGTCTTATGTCTTTACCTTGTTTTGCGATAAAGATTGTAGCAATTGTAGAATCAAGAAAAGATGTCGGAGAATATTGGAAGCTGGCCATGAAAGACCAAGACATGCCTGAGGAAATTCAAGGTCTCCTTGATGCAAACATTGAAAAGAATTTCAAGACTCTCAAGCAGTCTTTTGATGCTAAGGAAAATAATAAAGCTGTCAAAGATTTTGAACCAAGACCTAATGTTTCGGCTTATGGAGAAAATGACATCAATACTACAGAAAATAAGGGCGCCAATGAAGAATTTGAACCAAGACCTAATATTTCAGCTTATGGAGACAACAACATTGATGATGAGAAAAAAAAGAAAAGTACTGAAGATTTCGAACCAAGACCAAATATTTCAGCTTATGGAAACAATGACATCGATGATAGGAAAAAGAATAAAGTTGTTGAGAATTTTGAACCAAGGCCAAATATTTCTGCTTATGACAACAATGAGATTGGTGCTGAATTCACAGAGGATTTTGAACCAAGACCAAGTGTCACTAAATATAATGCATAAATGTAATAGAATGCAACTTCAATCTATGGTGGAGTATATTTAAATATGACATTGCTGCTTTATGTTGAATGATTACTAAGTGTGTATTCTTGTGAAACTTTGAGTATTTAAGGTTTTTAAGGTTTTTGATTACTAAGTGTGTATTCTTGATTACTAAGTGTCACCAAATATTTCTGCTTATGTATTTAAGGTTTTTGAATAATTGTTGTATTCTTGTGAGGTTAATTAAGAGATTGCTTGTGGAACTTTGAGTTGTTTAAAGTTACATGTTCTTTATATACTAGTATATCTTTATGCTATACAATGTTACAATATTTATGTATAAATATTACTATTTATACTTAAAATTATTTTTAAAGTTTTTTTTATAATATTAAATTAATAACAGTTCACCACGTAACACATATTAATATATGCTTTTTGCTTTTTAGAATTAGTGTCTCTTCATTGTCTTCTTTACAATTCTTATTCATTTTTTAGTTCCTCTTTCTTGAGATGGTAAATCTTCCATTTTTCTCTTGCCTAATCATGTCATGGAAATTGAAGAGTAAAACTTTCAAACTAAACCATATGAAATGCAATTAATGAACAGTTTATAAGTTAAAAGTATTTGTAATGTATCAACCTAGTGGTTAAAAAGATATATTAGGAGGAAAAAAATGTTAGTCCAAAATCTTGTACTTTTTATCTATAATTATAGTTATAAATTTGTTGAGAATATAATTCTTTGCGACAAAACATTATTTCGACAAAGTGTGTTGTCGAAATGTTCTGTGCAAAAATTGTATAGTTGTTCAAATATCAAAGAAGTGTATTTCGGCAGAAATTTAGACTTAACTTTATTTTGTGTTTTAGCTGAGTTATGTTAGTTGGAGATTTCTTAGTTCGCAAGCAATCTCAGACTATAAATAGGGATGCATCCTATCATTGTAATAATGCAGTTGCATAGAGAAAAGATTTTTTAAAAAAATTTATGTTTGAAGGAAAAGAGAAACTTTATAGAAATATTTTTCTTCTTTCCATTTTTTCAAAAACTCTAATTTCTTTTTTTTCTTCTCCAATTTATCTTTTATTTTCTTCTTTAATAATTGTTGTGCAGCAGAATCATCTTGCAACTAACGTGTGATTGATTCACTTGAGTGAAAAGTGAAGAACAATGGGCGGAATCAATTAGGAAAATAAATTCTTGTTCATCCAGACTGATTCTGAATTCTCAAAGTTTTAGGTGTATTTCCAACATCTGGTATCTAGAGCACTAATTGTGTGATTCTTCGGAAGCATAGCACGATGTATCATCCGAACGAGCATTTTTCAGCAAGTCTTTCAATTTTGAATGGTAAGAATTATGATAACTAGTGTAAGCAGATGAAGACTGTCTTCTGTTATTAAGACATGCAGGATCACTACAAGAAATAACGCTTTTTATGACGAAGTTTTCACCACAAACAATATAAAACTGAGGGTGTATGTAACGGGAGCACCTTGTTTTATTTTAAAAAAATTAATTTGTTACCTTGGTTATATGAAAAATCGACATAAATATATCCTTAGGGTTTGGGATTTGATTCTCAACTCCTACAGTTTTATGTTTTATATGGAACCAAAAAGGAGCCTTTAATTTTTATAGATTTTATATCAGATATGTTACCTCGATTTTCATTAAAATCGAGATACACACTCTAATTTTTTATTCTTTTTGGAACCCAAAAGGCACCTTTATTTTTTATATATTTTATGTCGGATATGTTACCTCAATTTTCAGTATAATCGCGAAAACTAATCTTTATATTTTTTATTCACTCAGTGTCTACCTCATTCACTTCTCGAGCCCTAGTGAAAGAACACTTCTTCTCCAGGCAACAAAAGAACACTTATTCTCCAAGGAGCCCTAACGAACGAAAAAACTCTCTCACCATTATTCTTTGGTATGTTATTGTTGTTGTTGTTCTCGTTGTTGCTTTGGTCAATTACCGTTGTTCTTTTTATTCTCCATTATTGTTGTTCTTGTTACTCTTTTTATATCTTTTATCCCCTCAATATCTACCACATTCACTTCTCGAGTCTTAGCGAAAGAACACTTTTTCTCCAGTCAATAAATGAACACTTATTCTTCAAGGAGCCATAGATAACGAAAAAACTCTCTCACCATTATTCTTCGGTATGTTATTGTTGTTCTTGTTGTTGCTTTGTGTTGTGAATCGGATACCTTTAAACAAAGTATAAACTGTTTCTTAATGATCAAGAAACTCACAAGAGTTAGGGTTAACAAAGAAAGCAAGGTAAAACAACAAGGAACAACAATGATTGGTTATTAAACTGCTATTCTTTCCTTTCTCTTAGAACAAGATTACAAGTATACAAGAATAACAAAATAACCTCTCTCCCTTGAAATTAGGATTTTATCTTCCTATTTTTCCTTATTCTCAAGATTGAGAAACTAGCATCCTATTTATAATAAAATAGCACACTAACCTAATGGGCTTTTTAACAATTACCCATTACAAGCTAACTTAGGGTACAAGCTAACTTAAACAATTGGGCTTACAAGCAAGACTCAATTCAACATGCTAACAACCCTAGCAATATTTACTCATGCTAACAACCTTAGCAATATTTACTCATGCTAACAACCTTAGCAATATTTACTCATGCTAACAACCTTAGCAATATTTACTCATGCATGTTAGAACAAACTTCGACTACAACATGCATTACTTGCGAACAGACTTCGACCACACTAGAGTTCGATCCAATGTCTCACAAATCTCCACCTTGGATCTAACTCTATAACATCAAGAAACTAGCTTTCTTCATGCAGCTTTATTAACTGCATATAATGGAAAAACTTGCAACTGGGCAACGTCTTTTCTTTTTCCGTTAACGCAGCGTCCATGGCTGCCTCACCCTTCAACGCTTCCAAACAACCCTGCTGAACCAACAGGGCTTTCATCTTCAAGCGCCACAGACCGAATTCATTCACTCCGGTGAACTTTTCAATCTCATACTTTGTTGAAGGCATCTTCTCCACGCTCACCGCACCAATTTGTTGTGAATCGGATACCTTTAAACAAAGTATAAATGGTTTCTTAATGATCAAGAAACTCACAAGAGTTAGGGTTAACAAAGAAATCAAGGTAAAACAACAAGGAACAACAAGGATTGGTTATTAAATTGCTATTCTTTCCTTTCTCTTAGAACAAGATTACAAGTATACAAGAATAACAAAATAACCTCTCTCCCTTGAAATTAGGATTTTATCTTCCTATTTTTCCTTATTCTCAAGATTGAGAAACTAGCATCCTATTTATAATAAAATAGCACACTAACCTAATGGGCTTTTTAACAATTACCCATTACAAGCTAACTTAGGGTACAAGCTAACTTAAACAATTGGGCTTACAAGCAAGACCCAATTCAACATGCTAACAACCCTAGCAATATTTACTCATGCTAACAACCTTAGCAATATTTACTCATGCTAACAACCTTAGCAATATTTACTCATGCTAACAACCTTAGCAATATTTACTCATGCATGTTAGAACAAACTTCGACTACAACACGCATTACTTGCGAACATACTTCGACCACACTAGAGTTCGATCCAATGTCTCACACTTTGTTCCATTACTATTGTTCTTGTTATTCTCCATTACTATTGTTGTTGTTGAGAAGCTTTATTTTTATTGGATGTGTATTTTTTTTTCATTGATCAAAAGGAAAGAGTACAAGATCCTTGGATTAAATAATTTTTCCCCATCAGAATAATATCCTCTAGCACTACAAGAATCTACCCAATCTACGAATCGTTCCTCACTACCCTCATCTGAGTCATAGTAAACAGGCTTCCTTGACACCTTTCTCTTCTTTTTCTTCTTCAACATTTTCTTCTCGGCCTTCCTCACCCTCAGTGCATCCCTAACAACAGTCGACCCAGATGGACGGGCCTCCTCAGTTGATTACTGATGGTGTTGTACTGTAGTGATGGTTTTATTCTCAACAATGACTTTTGTTAAGATAATGCTCTTAGCCTTCTCAGATGGAGAATCATGTTGCTAGGAAGTTAAGAAGAGTATGTTGAAGATGAGGAAATTCAGTATATAAAAGTGTGCATTTATAGAAGAGGTTGAGTGACTCAAGTGCCGCTAAAGGAAGATGAAACATCTTGTGATTTAATGCTTGTAATGATTAATTCTGATGGTTGATATTCTTGAATGACGTGTGAGTGTCTTGAGAAATGAAGAAAGATTTCAATCATTATAGTTATTTCTCTCTTTTGGAAAAAGCAAAGGTTGTTCTTGTTTTTTTATCAGAATTCAATTTTTTTCCATATATTTTTCATTTGCAAAGAGAGTAGTGCATCAGATCTTTGCAAATGGTTGTCAAGTATGCCTAAGTTTAATGTAATTGCTTGGGGTGCATACGACATTTCTAAATGTAATTTTTCATTTCTAAATAAGATTTTTATGTCACTGATCCTTCTAACACTAGATGATCAATTGTTCTTCGAGGTAAACATCTTCCCGATAGTAGTGATGAAAATCAAGATTTTAACTATGAGACGTCTTATTTAGAAACACATGTACGTCAAGCATCTGAAGAAAATGATTGAGATGATGTGCATGTTATTCGACGTGATCATGAAGAGGGGATATGTGAAAACTAGTAAGTAAATGTTTTATTTCCCTTTGAAATTTATACTTAATCATTTTACTCCTTTTTAATCATTTTACTATATATTTAAAGTTGTTGTTGATTAACCTAATTAGTTTCGAATATTGTTCAAACTATAGGTGCTTAAGAAATCTGTAAAATATGGTTCTATATTCAGGAATATGGTTCTATAATAAGGTGCAGACGACAGTACAAAAAACGTATCCCCTCGGTGTTTACATAAGACCGAGGTAATAATATTGAGATATTACCTCGATTCTAAAAAAACAACGAGTATTAATATTGGGCGTGCCATCTAGTTCTGAAAATTATAAAAATGCTAATGA